TCGGGTCTGACTTTGTCTGTTTTGTGTGCGTCACTAATGAGACGTGGGACTGCAGAGCACCTGCTGTGGGAAGCCTGCTGCTGCTGACTGACCTTCTGTGTGTTCTCTCTTTCCCGTTCCCCCGACCTGTGCTCCCGTTAGAAGTCTGGCCTGCACTTCCGACACACCGATAACACCGTGCAGTGGCTGCGAGCAATGGAGTCCATCGGTCTGCCCAAGGTAAGCCTCCGCTGGGAGGTGCACAGGTGGCACCTGGCCCCTCATTATGGACGGGGGATTGGCAGGTGGTATCCATCAGCGCAGGTTGGGAAAGACAGGAACCACCCACTGGATGGAAGGACTCCGCCATGGGCGTGCAGGCCAAGGACGCGGGGCCGGTGCGCTGGGTTGGGCGAGGCCAGGACAGGTGTGTGCTGGCCGAGCCCCTGTTTACAGTAACTCACTCCCCTTGTGCTGCTCCTTGGACGGCCCTGACGCCGCGTCTCCGTGCCTCCCTGCAGTGTTACAGTGACTTTCCCAAGTCCTTGTGGTGCATCTCAGCACCACTATGCGAACGGCTAGGCGGGATGACTGTCTGTGCTAACGCAGGTCTCCCCAGCGCAGTCTTCGGTGGATGCTCGGTGCTAGATAAACACCAAAAGCAGCCACCCTCAGCAGTGAGAGGGACAGTGGGGGCACGCGGAGATGCCGTTGGGGAAAAGTTATAGGACAGGCCTTGTGGCAGCTGTGGGTCAAGCTGCCACCGGAGCACCCACATACCAAAGCCAGGTCCTGGATCGGATTTTATATCTCAGCCTCTCCACTTATGATCCGACTGCCTGCTAATGCACCTGGGAGGCTCCAGGTGATGACTCAGGTGCGAGATCACACTGCCTTGGCCTGGGCCCAGCTCCAGCTGCTGTGGGCATCTGGGGAGTGAACCAGCAGATGGAAGATCTCACTGTCTCTGTCTGGCTCACCCCCTCTATTGCTGTGCCTTTCAATAAATAAAATTAAGCAAACACATTTAATTAAACAGCTGGAGAGGTTTTTCTGAGGCTTGCCACCCTGAGATGATTACAGAATCAAAGGGGGCGGCTGAAGGTGTCCATCTGTGTCCCTCCCCCCCCCCCGCTTCTCCCATGGGTGGCATTTCGGCGATGATGCTGAAGGTGGGAGCCCGCAGGCCTCATGCACCCTCACCGTCTTCACCTGCACTCACATGTGGCTCCCTGCAATCGGTCCCCCGAATCTACGTGCACAGCCACCACCGGAGAGGGGCAGACCCCAAGGCCAGACAGCCCGGGGCTGACCCCAAGGGGCAGGCTTTGTCCTCTGTCCCTGTCCAGTGCTGTTACCTTGGGAGCCGTTCGTGGGTGGAACCGTGAGCGGTGCCCTCTTGCGGTGGGCGTCCTCCCGCTGGGTGGGCTTCTGCGTGCACCAGCCGCCGGCTCCTCAGTGTTACTCAGAGACCGCTGTGCTGGGGGCATTCAGAGTTCGTGGAAAGTGGGATTAAAAGAAAAGGGTGTTTTTGGTGCTAAACCTTTTGAAATGGCTGCGTTCAAGCAGTCTCCCGAAATGTCCTGGAGAAGGCTCGGCAGTCACGCGTGCAGTGGCTCTGCCCTCCTCCCTGGTGCAGCCCCGCAGCGCCAAGCCCAGGGCCCGCTGCTGGCTGCTCAGGCCCCGTGCCTCTGTGCGGCCAGACTTGCTGTGAACGCAGCCGCACAGCACGGCCGCGCCTGCTCCGGCTCCGTCTCATGTTTCTCCGTGTTGATTCTGTCCTATCATTTCCCTTGACACGAGTGCCCGGAACATGAGGCACTATCCCCCTCAAGCCCCGGTCATGAAACCACATCCGTCAGTGACTGCCCATGGCCACCGGGGGCAGGCGGGGGGAAATTCACAAAGTTTCTGCAACGGGCAACAGCAGGTTGGGGTGATTTCATTAGGTTTGGTATATTGAGGTCTGTGCTCAGGGCCCAGCTGGTGGTGCATGGGTGCAGATTCTGTGTTTTATCGTGGTGGCCTCGGGACATCCTCAGCACCCAGCAGGACTGGGCCCAGTGGATCCCTAGATGCCGGCGAGGGACTTGACTGCCGCTTAAGCCTTGTCAATGTCAGTGCCTCCTCCATGCTCTGTGCTCAGTGCTGGGTGCTGGCGACACCGTGCTGAGTCCTGGGTGAATCACTCTCATCAGTGCAGAGCCTGCTCTGTGCTCAGTGCTGGGTGCTGGTGACTGTGCAGAGTCCTGGGTGAATGGCTTCCATCAGCATCAGAGCCTGCTCTGTGCTCAGTGCTGGGTGCTCAGTGCTGGGTGCTGGTGACACTGTGCAGTGCTGGGTGAATGGCTCCCATCAGCATCAGAGCCTGCTCTGTGCTCAGTGCTGGGTGCTCAGTGCTGGGTGCTGGTGACTGTGCAGAGTCCTGGGTGAATGGCTCCCATCAGCATCAGAGCCTGCTCTGTGCTCAGTGCTGGGTGCTCAGTGCTGGGTGCTGGTGACACTGTGCAGTGCTGGGTGAATGGCTCCCATCAGCATCAGAGCCTGCTCTGTGCTCAGTGCTGGGTGCTCAGTGCTGGGTGCTGGTGACACTGTGCAGTGCTGGGTGAATGGCTCCCATCAGCATCAGAGCCTGCTCTGTGCTCAGTGCTGGGTGCTGGCGACACCGTGCCGAGTCCTGGGTGAATGGCTCCCATCAGCGTCAGAACCTTCTCTAGGCTCTGGGCGACCCCGCGCAGTGCTGGGTGAATCGGTGTCACTCTGCTATAGGAAGACGCATCCCAGGGCTTCTCCATGAGCAGAGACACAGGGACCGTTCTCGTGGACAGGAAGTGAGGGGGTGGCCAACAGTACAGCCCGTGTGAGTTCAGTTGTTTTCTGCTTACACAGGAGGTCCTTTTAGGTCTTAGATTTACCTGTTTATTTT